ATCATGGTCATTATTTGCAAAAACAGAGTTTGCATATATTGCATTGTGAGTTTGTCTTCTCGAAGCATTGATTTGAAGCAAGTATAGTCCTGAGCTCATCCTAGCATTATCAATCATCCTTTCCGAGTCCAAGTCCTGAAATTCACACATGTTAGAGACAAACTTGGTAGCACAATTTAAATCTTCACATAACTTGCTTACTGATAACAAATTACAATCCAGATTTGGAACATGAAGGACTGAGCAGAGAGTCAAATTTGGAGACAAATTTACAGAACCCGTTCCTGCCACTTTTGAGAGGGACCCATCAGCAATTTTGATTGAATAATCTTCTTTACACTTGCTGTATTTTTTGAAATATTGAGGCATCTCCAGTCAAATGATCAGATGCTCCTGAGTCTACAACCCAAACCTGCCCTTTTCTGAGTAAGCAGACAAACAAAAAATATTACCTTTGTGTGCCACTGAAGCACTGACCGAGTAACTTTTCTGGGACAGCATGCGCTAGAGAGCTTCCAGCTGTTCAGGACTAAAGAGACTTCTCTCCACAGTAGCAAGTGAATTTCTTCAGTAGTCACGTGATTTCCCTGGTGCTTGATTGAGTTTTCTGGCTTGAAGAGCTTCTAATCATTCGGCTTGCCATGAAGCTTCAAACACTTTTCGCGTGTGTGCCTAAGCTTCCTACAATGGTCACACCAAGGTCTCATCTTCTTTGTATGAGCATCCAGTTCTCAAGTTGTGAGCGCAAAGGAATTTCTGGTCTGGTGGGTGAGTTCGGCGTCTCCTAGCATGAACTTCCTTCGGCTTTCTTCTCGCTGAATCTCAGAGAAGGCCTCACAAAGACACGGCAATGGCTTGATACTCAGCACGCGTCCCCGAACCTCATCGAGGTTTTTGTTTAATCCCATAAGAAATTTGAAGACTCCCTTCTGTTCAACAATCGATTTGAAGATTTTCGCATTTTCGAGACAGCTCCATCGATGCTCTTCAAAGATATCCAATTGCTGCCAGCTGCGGGTCAAAACATTATAATATTGGGTTACGCTTAACTCACCTTACCGAAGATCGTGAAGAGTCGATTCTATCTCAAAGATGACAGAGGTGTTCTCCTTGTTGGAGTAAAATTCCTGAGCCGCTTCCCAAATCTCATGTGTGGTCTCATAGAGAAAGAAATTCTCTTTGATTTCTGGAGTCATTGAAGTTATGAGCTATGACTTGACCATGCTGTTTTCGATCTTCCATGTACGAGCCTTCAGGTCAGCCGCGGGAGGAGGTATGAGTTCGCCAGTGAGATACTCGTCGCGCCCCTTACCTCGGATGAACAGCAGAACGAACGACGACCATTGAAGGTAATTATTGCCTTTTAGTTTGTGTCCTGTGATAAAGGACGAAGACATTTCATCCACACCGTTGTTGATGGATATGTGATGATAGGAACCCAAAGAGACCTCGGGTGGAGAAGACGGAAGCTCACCTGTGGCCATTTGTGACTTCGACAAAGCAAGAATGATTCACTTGAATCAGGTATGCTCTGATACCATGAAGTTTTAGAGAATTGAAATTCTACTTCTGCCAAATTTTTCCATCAGCATAAGGTGTCAATTTATAGGAAACATGCAACCAAATTCTAACAAAAACCTAAGAAAATTCTAACAACTTTATGGGAATGAGGAATAACAAAATCTGTTATACCTCACCAACTTTGTGATTACCTCCACTAGACTAAACACTAGGTTCATAACAACAAAAAACAAAAACTGAATTGATTCTTTTATTTTCTACAGGTTGCATGGTCGTGTATATAGGTTTAAGTAAATTCAATAAAGTTGTCAAATTGGCAGTCTCTTTATCAAATAGGTTTCAATTGAAGTGAAAGTTCCAAGATAGGTTGTTACCAATGTTAATGATGAAGCTTGAGATGCAAGTACTATGTCTAGTAGATAACTACCAAAGCCTCGAGAATTTGGTGGCTAAGATCTGGTCCCCCAACCACAAATCTTCCCTGAAAAGTGTCCTAGAGCCATTTCCCACTTGAATACAAGTGAGTGGGTAAAACAATGGATGGGTTTGGGAAATGAATTTTCAGGGACTTCAATGACTCGTGGTTCTACTAGCAAGAGCTTCCCACGCATCCCTATCACTTCCGTAGATACCGTATATCACCTTATGTCATAGAGAGTTTGCTTCACAAGGAAAGTGTCATAGTCATTTCGTCAATAGGGATAAATTCCTTCATCTATGATTCCCGATATCCAGATGATGTAAACATGGATGGCTTGTACTATTCAAGCAACCAACCAAGCCAAGAAAAGAATCGGCCAATAAAGAGTCCAAAATTCTATTAAAATCCGAGAGTAACACATGGGAAAATCTTCCCCACCCTTGAGAGATTTTTCCCACTCGAGAGATTTTTCTCTCAAGAAGAAAAGTTTCCTTTTCTTCTCCATATCTTTCTCAAATGATAAAAAAGAAACCAAGATCAAGGAATTTCAAAAATCTAATCCAAGTTGAATCCAATCATATCATTCTAAGTTTCTAAGCCAAGATCATATATTTCAAAAAAGAAGTAAAATCAACATGTGGGAAATCAAATGCATTAAACACAAGATCATGGTGGGATACTTCTTTCCAAAAAAAAAAGGATATTAAATCAAAAACATTTAATTCACAAGATCATGGATAAAATCATGGACGGATTCCCAAGATCATGGCAAGATTCACTTATTTTCCTATATGAAAATTAAGAGTTCTAGAGATCTTCTTTAAATTAAGAAATTCTCAAAAAAATTTCTTTCAAATTAAAAAATCATCTAGAGATCTTCTCATATTTTAAGTTCATATCATATTTAATTCAAAAATCTTTTCATGGACGATAACATCTCAACAATATTAGAAAGAAATCTTATTTAATTCAAGATAGGCAACCATATCTATATTAATTATTATTATTTTCTTAATTGTGTAATTTATTATTTTTCTAGAAAAACGATTGTAATTAATTAGGAGATTTTCTTTTCTTGCATTTTACTTAACCTACAACTATAAATATATCTCAAGAATTGTATTCAAGACTCAAGTTTGAAGATAATAAAATTCAAAACTTTCTAACTTTTCAACAAATGATGTTTTTTTCAATCTTCTTGTTGAGTGGAGAATTGATGTTTATTTATCAAGATCTTTCTTATGGCATTCTAATCAACTCATTTATTCATATTACCTTAATTCCAATCACAGTTAATTGTAGATTAAGTCGAATGTGTTTATCCAGGAATTAAGTTTTTTGTGCTAATTTGTATTGCGAGTTTTTTATCACATTGTTGATTATGGGTTCCGCATCACCAGACCCCTATTATACTTGAATTGACAATAAATCTCCCATCTAACTAAGTATCTCGACGCTCATCTCCCTCACTCTCCCCCCCCCCCCTCACCCCCTCCCCCGCCCCCAAAAAAAAAATTTATTCTAACATTGATCATCTCAATTATCTCAAAATGAATCCTAAACAAGCAGAGATAATAGAGTGGTATACTAGTTAGACAAGTGTTTGTCCAGATTACCCTTCCCCCTAAAAGAGAAAAGACCCCTCCTCCAACTCTAAAGACGCCTAGCAACCTTCATCTTTATCTCCCCCAAAGAAGTCTTCCAACTCGGGTTACCTCTTAAAGGAACTCCGAAGTATGTAATGGCCATGAAAGCTTCCCACATCCAATCAAATCCACTAAGAAGTTAACAAGGTCATTATCTACGTTTGTCCCAACTAGACCACTTTTCCCATGTCGATTTCCAACCCTAAGACATACTCGAATACATGGATGATTGTTAGAGCGTTTAATATAGATTGATTATCATGCTCCAGGAATAAAATTGTATCATCCACAGGACACATCTACATTCTGAAGTCCAACTCTCAACCCCTTTACTACTCCCCTCTCGAATGCCCTAGTCAACATGCTGCTTAAAGTATCCACAAATAGAGTGAAAAGAAAAAGGGACAAGGGATCGCCTTGTCTAAGCCTTCTAGAGGATCTAAACCAATCACGGGGTTTCCCATTAACCATCACAGTAAAAGAGCCAGAGGATGGGCACCCTTGGATCCATCTTCTCCATCTTTGCCCCTTTTCTTTTGAGTAAAGCAAATTGAAGATAAATGGTGAAGGAGATAGAAGAAGAAGAAGAATTAAGTATTTTTTTATTTTTTTTTTTTAAGTTTGATTTACTTTCATTTTTTTCTAATTCAAACAAGTTTAAGCTTTTTCAGTTTTTTCTATTTAAAACTAACGGAGTTAGTGTGTTTTTGAAACAACCTCAAAATTTCGGGGAACTCATTTGTAATAAAAAGAACATGTAAAAAGAATTCATTTTTCAATGTATACTTCACACTTTTTATTTCACAAAAAAAATTTAAAAAAATATTTAAAATTAAAATGTAATATTCACTATAGTTCATTGAACTAAATTGGGTACTTGTCCTATAAAATATGATAACTCACTTGAACAATAATTTATATACATACTATAAGATATATATCATTATAGTTTTTATCATCCTAGTATATTGCATGATCATTCCAATTTTTAAAATATTTATACAATGAATATCAAGGACAATATAGCTTTTATCATTTATATGAATTTAACAAGAATAAGGAAGAGGAGGAGGAGGAGGAGGAGGAGGAGGAAGAAGAGGAGGAGGGAATAAAAGAACTTTGCTTAGAAATATGGAATTTATTTCCCAATTCCACTGAATTTCATGCAATTCTGAATGAACTATATCAAATCCTTACGGAATTCATTCGGAAATGAATTTCGTAGTTTGAAATAATTCTGTAATTTAAAATATTGGTTTTGAAATTATTCCACAAAATTTTGTGGAACTCATTTGTTGTCAACACACACTAAGTGTTTCAGTTTCCGAAGCCCATAGTTAAGGCAGTATTATGTCAACATAAAACTTAGAAGTAAAGAATAACATGATAATTACTAGATATGATTACCACACCTGCCCCAAAGTTATTGGAAGTAACCTTCCAGTGGGAGGTCCAGGACGGCTTCCACCTAGAGTGCGGGAGGAGAAAGCGCTGCTGTATATGAGTTTCCATCTTCCTTGCAGCTTGTCGAGATCAACTGTGAGGTCCACTGGCCCACCAACAGCTTCTAACTCTTTTGCAGACGCATCTGCTTTTTGTAGATCATCTATACTTGCAGCAAGACCTCTATTAAGTCCGGAAACAGCACTCTACATTTGATTGACTCATATATGTCAAAGCACTACCAAATTAGACCATAGTAAAAATACTAGAACAACCACTGCCAGATTGCATGCCAGCAAGTTTAATTTCACGTTTTATATTTCTAAAAGTGTTCAGTACTGTATCTATATTTCTAATGAAGAGAATTAACGAAAAAAAATTTGCCAGAGCATGAAAAGATCGATAAACAAGATATCAGGTCTTAAAAAATTAGTATATATCAAGGTAAGTAGAGAACCCTTTTTTCTTGAGAAGAAGGGTCTGTATTAAGCTTCTTTTTTTGAGAAGAAAGGTCTGTAGTAAGTAGGAAGATAAAGCGCTAATTGTTTGGACACATAATATTTGTAGAAAACTGTTTTGAGTTTTTATTTTCTAAACACAAATTGTTTTGATACAGAAATACGTATCATTGTTGAAAACGAAAGCAATACGAAAAAGTTAATACTAAAAATATTAGATGAGTTTGAAAGGAAATATATTCTTTTCAAACTCAAGCTATGATTTGACAATCATTTTTCACATCTTGTTTTCATTTGCAACAACCATACATATTTGTGGTATAAAATATATGTACATTTAGAAAAACAGTTTACTTCAACTATACAGGACCTTGAATCCTAGAAATCCGCTTGTAATGATGCAGCAATAGCAAAAGATGACAAATACCTAAAAAAGGCCAAAACTTCTTTAATGTCAAAAGCAAAGAGTAGTTGCAGTGAAATAGATACATTGGTAGGATTCGAAAGGCCTAAATCTAAACCCTAACCTCATATACACTCTTATATGGCAAAGGTTAGAAGTTTTTAAGATAGGTACCACATCTTCCAAATCCAAAGGTGATAGGCAACAGAATCCATGCTTCATCAGTCTTTCTTTTTTTTATTCCACAGGGTAGGAATTCAAATAGAAAACAATTTCATACTAGAAAAGATCCTAGATGAAATTTTACTCACTTCTCCCTCATGTAAAGCTGAATCTGCATTGTCCATACAACCATAAAAGTCCAAAATTCAACTAAACCCAACAGCCCCAATCCACAATCATCAAGAAGCAATAAAGGCAAAGCATACCCAATTTCCAATTTTATCAGGGTAGACGAGCAAATGAGTTCAAAACCTAAGTTCGTTATTGGATAAGCGTATAATCAAGCCCAAGAGAGCGAAATGCCAATTATCTAAGAAACTCACCAATAACTTTACTTTCAAAGAGGCAACGAATTGGCTCTTGTCGCCATCAGGTTGAGATGGAGGTGGGTCAATAACGGAAACCTCATCTACAGCCGATCTCAAGGAAAAAATTTTCTTCCCATGACATCTGCTACTTACTTTTAAGTCACTCCATCCGTGAATTTTTCCAGGAACCATACAACCAAAAGAGCGAGAAGAAGATGGTGAATTAAGTGAAGTGTGAGCAGACAAGAGCTTTGGGGAATGAAGAAGAAATCCTACAGAAGCCATAGCTTGCGAGTGCATGTTTTCAGTTCTCGCCAGTGGGGAGAAATACAACAAGCACCAGTCGTATGACGATAAAAGGTTTTATGCACATCTTCGTAGAATCTTCTCTCGCGGTTGCGAACCAGACAGAAAAACTCACGGTTGTGAGTCGACAGTCTATGGTCCTGTTTGATTGTCGTGGACTTGTTTGCATAGCTTTCTTTTTTCTTTTTTTTTTTTTTTTCCTTTTGTCAAAAATTATTCCTGGAATATAGATATTAAAAAAAAATTAATAAATATTTTTTCTGCTTAATTCTCTCCATTGAAACATAATATAAATATAATATTTAGATTGAGACCTAATTTAAGACAAAATTAAGAGTATACCAATTTTTTTTATAAATTTATATCAAATATACTAAAATTATAAAAGAATTTTGTGTAGATTATAAGATAAGAGTGTCTGAGAAGTAATTAAGTTATTGTTGAATCGAAATTATTGCTCGAATACTAAGACAATGAATAATTCAGTGAATTAGATTTTTCGAGATATCAACATTTTATGCAACTACCCAATAATAATAAACTAACAAGAATCTAAATCATAAGCAATAATGAATAATATAGTGAAATAGATTCAGTTAATTGTATGTGTCAAACTTGAGTTTATAAATATTCTGTTGTTAGCTTATACTTATGTCATATTTCTTAAATTAACAACTTGATATTTCTACTATTTTCTACAATCTCTTATAAAAACTAGTTATTTTGGTTGTATAGGACACTACATACTTATATTTTCATAATACAATTTTTTTTATAATCTTACCTTAATTTCTCTTTAAAAAACCAAGAAAATAGAAAAAATATTTAATACTTCTTATCTCAAAAGAGTTGACTTACAAATAAAATTCACTTAATGATTAGATTGAAACTCGATAATAAAATTAAGAATATTTCTTTAATTTTCGAATAGATCTCTCAAAAAGTTGTTTGAATGACAAAGATGAAGAACATTTAAAAAGATATATAATGAAAAGAACTTTAAACATAAATGACATGTCATATTTGCATAAAAAAAAAAAAATCGTATTTTAAAATTGCAGGTGTGATGCATGTGATTCTTTTAGAGTCATGATTTTTATCATAATTGAAATGGTATATCATTTTGTACAAGAAGATGGAATAACATTTGAATTAAAGTATGTTGCTCGTACATATTTCTTATTGAGTTATCAAAAGCTTTAAGTACAAGTACATTAAAAATTTAAATATAAAAATTACAAATATGAATGAATAAGAAAAGAGAACATGGTAGAAACTATAACCCAATATTGTATAAATATATATTGTTGCCTCAAACGTATGAATTTTATTACCTAATTGTTATCATTATAAGATATATAATGTTATTATATTATCTTTTATGATACGAACTTATTACAAAATATTTTATATATCATATTAAATTTAAGAGATAAAATAATAATTAAAAGGGTATTTGAGATACTTATAAATATTTTAAAATATATACTTTAAACTTCATTGTTCATAATATAAAAAGTATCACATCTAACATTTTAAGTTTTATTTTTTTAAGTTAAAGATTTTAAATTTTAGTTAATCAATTTACTTAATTAGTTTCTTAATGTTATACTAAAATCTATATTACATACAAAATGTTAGCCATAAAGTGTTTTACAATAAATATATGTTTTATTTTTTTAAGAGAATAATAAATTATTTTTTTGCAGTTAACATTTTATCCTAATACTTTAAACACACATTTTTTCAAATAATTCCAAACAGTTTGAGATGAGTTGATTTGATAAGATGAGTAAAAATCTAAAATTATTTAAAATAAAGTGTTTATATATATATATATATATTTTTTTTAATATGAGTAAATACAAAAAATAAAATAATTACAAAAAACAAATAAATAATTCAAAAAAGCGCTGTAAAAGTCAAGAGCAGAAGATAATATGAGGCGGCTCTCTGCGCTTAAATTCAAAACTCGAATCCCATCAATTTCCCGCTCCAAATCACACTTACCCCTTCAAAAGGCAAAAACCCATTCCTCCATCTTCCGTCTTCCAAAAATCAAAATTTAGACTTCCTGAATCTTTATACTAATTTGTTAAACTTCCATGTCAGCTCTGTCGACCCGCCGGCTCAGGGACCCAAATGCCGGCACCGGACCCAGAACCACTGCACAAAAACCAGCAAAAAACCTCTCCCCCATCTCCATAACCACCAAAACCTCTACTCAGTCTCTTCAAAAATCGTCGTCTGGGAAGGAGAACCCCAGGTCCGGTTTTAGGGCCTCTGGATCCGCTCAAAAGCCCGTTATTCGGCCCGTTCCTCGGGTGGAGAAGGCAGCTGTGGGCTTGGGAGGCGACGGAGAGGCGCGTGCTAGGTGGTCTACGTCAGCAGCTCCAAGAGGTAGGAGCCCTAGCCCGTCTCAGTTCATTAGGGTTTTTTCTGATTTGAGAAGAGAGAAGGGTTCTAAGGTTTCTGCCGATAGGTCTGGTAAGGGTGTGAGTAAAGAAAGTAAATGGACTAGGAATTCGATTGTGAGCACGAATGAAAATGGCACGAGTAATTTTAAGGAGAATGGTGATTCCAGTGATAATTTGGTTAAATCGAGTACGTTTTCTGAGGGGCTAGGGCAGGAATCTGGAAAGAACTTGAATTTGAGCGCAGATTTGGCGAACCGTAGTGCTTACAAGGGCTTTAAAGGAAAGGGCAGTTCGGGTTTTGCTAGCTTAGACGCTAGTGCTAATGTTAATAAGGGACGTGACGAGAAACCTGTTTCTGTTTCGAAATCTGACGATAAAATCGAACAGGTTAGGAAAGGTGTTAACTTAGGTTTAAGGAGAACGTCTCTGGACGGGGATGCAAGGGTTTTGGAGATTTCTAAAGAGAACGGAGTGAATGAAGATGGTGTAAGCAGTTGGGTGAGTAACAAGTACCAAAGCAAGCTTCATGAGAAGCTAGCTTTTCTTGAAGGAAAGGTTAAGAGAATTGCTTCAGATATTAAGAAGACTAAGGAGATGTTGGATATGAATAATCCAGATGCATCCAAGATGATACTTTCGGATATTCAGGAAAAGATTTCTGGTATTGAGAAGGCTATGGGTAATGTTGTTAGTAATTCGGGTAGCAAATTAGGCGTTTCAACTAGCAGTGTAAGTGATAATAGGGAGGTGAAAATTGCAGGTAAGAGTGAAGTTAATCAAGCCGAGAGTGTGAAAAGTTCTGTTAATGGATTGAATAGTGAAGATTTAGAAGCTAGACTCTTTCCTCATCATAAGTTGCTTCGGGGTCGAACATCCTTGAAGGCATCCTCAGGAGGCTCTCAAAGTCTAGAACTGCCTGATGTAACAGAACCTAGCAGAGAAGTAAATGTGGAAGAGAAGCCATTGAGTCCAGTTGAGGAAAATCCCATAGCTTTGGAATTCTTGGCTTCTCTTGATAAGGAGCCTGCCAAAATCACAGTTAGGAGAGATCAAGTTCATATGGCCCATTGTGAAGTCCAGGAAATGGATGGCAATGCAATATCAGGGAAGCAAGACTCTTCAAACAAGTTCAATGAAAATGCTGATCTTGATCTCCTTCTCAAAGCTGATGAAAGGCTTGATGAATTTGATGATCAGGAGAACAGACAAGAAATTATTATCGATGAAGAGACTGATGATCCTTGTGTCTACCAGCTAAATGAAATGGGTTTCAAAACTTCTACAGGAGGATGGTTTGTGTCGGAAGGAGAGGCAGTTCTTCTAGCACATGATGATGGCTCATGTTCCTTTTATGACATTGCTAATCTTGAGGTATTTCAATCTTATGCCATTGTAGAGTTAGAACTTAAGATTTTGATTTTGCATCATAATGTTGGAGAGGCCAGCTGCTCTTTTAATGTAATTGCTTTGTCTTTATTTAACTGCACTTAAGATGTCTCCCCACATTGCATGTTTTATTTCTTTCCAGAAAATCAACGGATTGGCTTCATATTGTTTATGAGATTGTTGAATTCTTTCTTTTATGGTTCTGCAATTCCTAACTCTTCTTTGTACTTGTCTTCCCAATAGAAAAAGTAGTTTTCTACAATGTTGCTGGCTTCGTTATGTATTCCAGACTCAAGGATTTGTTAGCTGATGTCATATTGCTTACCGAGTTTGTTTTTGTTCCTATTTTGTGGTTTGCTTGGTATCTTTACTGCAACAGAAAGTGTGGTAAGCATATCAAGCAAAATTATTTCTTCTAGTTTGTTTTAGTTCCTGATTTTCGCTGTATGGTTTACTTGTTGATACTAATTTCTATAAGAGAAAATGTACTAAGCTGACCAAGCAAAAAATATTTCCTTTGAATTACCGCCAGTAGCTTGTTTTATGTATCAATGCAATCAGGCATGCGATTTTTTATAGACATACTTTGACCAAATTATGCTTCGTCTTACTTCAGGAGAAGGCAGTATATAACCCTCCTATGGGAATCTCACCTAATATATGGAGGGACTGTTGGATAATCCGTGCTCCAGGTGCAGATGGTTGTTCGGGCAGATATGTTGTGGCTGCATCTGCTGGCAATACATTAGATTCTGGATTTTGTTCATGGGATTTCTATGCCAAAGATGTGCGTGCTTTCCACATTGAGGAAGGAGGGACAGTAGCTTCAAGAACTGTGCTAGGCCCATTACCCAATAACACTATGCACGGAAGAAATACTTTGACTAGTACTTTGATGCCAGAAACTCAGCAGTGGTGGTATAAACCATGTGGACCTCTTATCATCTCACTGCCAGTTCCCAGAGGGCTGTCAAAGTTTTGACATCCGAGATGGTGAGAAAATAATGAATTGGGAGTTGCAGAAGCCTGTACTACAATGGACTATCAAGCCCTTTGCAGTGGAGGAACAGAGGAAAAGTGGTAATAGCTGAAGTGGAAACGATTTCTGTATGGGATGTGAGCTCCCTTCATGCTCAAGCATTAGTTTCCATTTCTTCCTCAGGTCGAAAAATCTCTGCTCTCCATGTAAATAACACTGATGCAGAATTAGGTGGAGGGGTTCGTTTGAGGTTAGACCTTCAATCGGGGCTTCCATTAATGATTTCATGTTCTTATGTTTATCCCCCTTGCCTATGTTTAAGAGAGAAGGGTTTCATATGATTTCTTTAATGATGTTTGTGAAATAATATAGATTTTTACCATTTTAACATCTTGTCAAGTCTGTGCTAGTTTTTCTCTTTTGCTTACTGCTTGCTCTGACTGTATCTTGTGAAATAATAAGGTGGTTTGTGTTTGAAATACAGAGCAACTTCCTCAGAAGCTGAAGGAAATGATGGTGTCTTTTGCACCCCTGATTCCATTAATATTTTGGATTTTCGCCACCCATCTGGCATTGGTGCAAAAATACCAAAACTTGGTGTAAATGTGCATTCTGTTTCATCTCGTGGGGATTCTATATTTCTTGGCTGCACCAACGTGAGGTCTGCAGGAAAAAAGCAGCTGTGTTCTCAGGTGCAGCAATTTTCACTGCGGAAACAAAGGCTAGTTAGCACCTACTCTTTGCCAGAATCCAATGCTCACTTGCATCACTCAGCTATAACACAAGTGTGGGGAAATTCAAATCTTGTGATGGCTGTCTGTGGGCTTGGGCTATTTGTGTTTGATGCATTGAGTGATGATTCATTACAGTCTTTCACTAGTGAATGTGGCGGTTTCCAGAAGGTTAAAGAAATCATTGGCACAGACGACCTGTATTCTCCTTCTTTTGATTATTCAGGATCCCGGATTCTCCTCATATCAAGAGATCGCCCAGCTCAGTGGAGGCACTTACTGTAAGTTTTACACATGCTCGAAAATGTTTGTTGTAATTTATCAGGACTAAGAAAGTATTAAATAACTTCTTGTTATTTATATCTGTTTCTCATTATTAAAGTTTACAAGGTGAGTTTGCTATTTGTTGAAGCCAGGTTGATTTGCACTGAATTAGAAATTCCTCATTTTTGGTTTGTATACTAGCATATAATATAATTTTATTCTCAGCTAGTTCTCTTTCTGAAAGAAAGGCATAAAGAACTTTTAACTTTGGAGAAGGGATGGCTTTAGGATCACAGTTCAGCAGTGACAATACCTGCATCTGTAACTAATCTCCTCAGGTTCACTGGGAAGCTTGATTTGCCAGATCTGATGATAAAACACTTGTTTTTTCTGTCAAAATTATTTTTCTTTGGGTTTACTGGAAACAATTATATGATTTTTGGTTTGTATATCTTTGAGTCTTTACAGTCGCATTATTTTGCGTACATCATATGAAAATATGCATGGACATTGAAAAACATTCCAGCATCTAATGAAAAAGTAGTTTGACTTAAAAAATTAAACTGTAAAAACAGCTATGAATATGGGAAGAAAACCAGTAATATACGAGGTACAGGTAGTAGTTAGTGAGTAGGAGTTATTAAGTGACTGTAGAGCTGCTGGGGTGTGAAGGTTAGAGGAGGGATGAGTTGACGAGTAATGTAGGGGGTCCAAGATGCACAAAAGTCTTCCATCTCTTCAAAATTTGCGTAGTAGTTAGCAGGAGAAGAAGGGTGGGTGAACAGGGGAAGTGTAATTTAATCTTCTTTGTAGTGAAGATGCCTAACTTGAGTGGCACCGCACCTACTTCTCACCAAAACCATGAAGGCTATAAAAATTCTAAAAAAAATATTGTAAATTTTGAACTTAATAAAAAGTTTGAATTTAAGATTTGAGGTGTATAATTTTTAGATAAAATTATTTTTTAAGTAATACTACCAATATAAAAGTTGTTTACTACCAATATAAGTAATACCTTTGATAGGTATGTTATTGGATAATTGTCTCTTTGAATAAACTCTTAAAATAAAAAATGTATTATTTGACTCTTTTATATAAATTGTTAATCAAGATTTTTATGGTGAATAAGATGGCAATTAATTAAGCAACATATTATATATCAATCACAATCCGGCAAAGACTTCAAAAAATCTAGATTTATGGTGAATAAGACGGCAATTAATTGAGAAGCAATATGTATCGTATTAATCACTAGAAAAGAAAATTTCCACTTATAGAAATGATTTTGAGTAGTTGGCTAAAAATAAATGTGGGGTTCAACTGTATTTCATTTGAAATATAAATATATATATATATATATTTTTTATAATGAGATTATGAGTTGAAATTGTATTATGTACGTATTTTGTGTGTGTATTTTTGTTAAAAAAAATTGTGATATTATTAATTACGTTATTATAGACATATAAATAATATATAATTATTGCAATATATGATTTATATATTTAAAGATATATATAATTTTAAGGCCTATTGGGCAAGTAATCAGATACATACGAACTGCAAAACTACATCTAATTGATATGGAGAAACAAAGAGGGGAATACTTGAAGTTAATTAACATCTATTAACATCATCCCTATTGACAATTATAACTACATTTGCGTTATTCATTGATTGTGACACTCTTTTTCATCCTATTCCAAGATATAGGAAATGGACAAGAATTTAATTAAAGTAATATAAGGGCAATCCACAAATATATATATATATACACACACATACACGTATAAGAAGATTATTGTTGAGAGCAGTTATATATATACACATGTATATGTATATACGCACACACTAACATATATTGCCACTAAATTAAGGACACGAAAATGGAAGATTTGAAACCTAACCCACAAAATTTTGGCAAAAAGAAAACTAAGACCGCGAGATCATTCCGGAATCACCTTTAGTTTACCTATAACAGATTACTTTGCTAGCTTCTTTAACCTCTTGTTATTATTCATACTTATCCGTATGTGCATATATACATATACACATATATATATATAATAGATTATGCTATAGAAACATATAAATAAATTCTGGAATTCCCCGGTAATATGAAGAGCAATTTGGGCAGCTGAGATGGCTGTGTCTGATGGGTCCAAGTCAAATTCCCCCGTGCTTAAAAGAAGAAGAAGCATTAAAATGTGGCTGTAGTGGTTTTCGGTTAAGAAATCAACTTGTTTTAGGTGGACAGAAATGTAATTGTGGTCTGTAATCGCGTATCGTAGTCTATTATTTAATGCTTGGGGGGGACACAAAACCTCATTTGGTGCAAATGCATTGAGTGTATATATACATATATATCTACACCTATACATATACATATATGGTGCCTATTTTTTAAGATTAAATGCATGGGATATTGCATGATACACGATATCTTGTAGTGTATATTTTAGGTCTATTTTTCTTTTTCCCCTTGATGTGAACAGATTATTTGCTTATATATATAGAGGTTTCCATCTCTTAGACTTGGCATCCCACTTGTGTTTTATTTAGTGTGTATATATATATATAGAGAGAGAGAGAGAGAGAGAGAGAGAGAGAGAATAAGTTAAAAAAAAAAAAACATTAGTGGTTGTGGAGTTAAAAGAGAAGAAAAGATGGGAAAAGAGAGAGGAGAGGGTAAATACAGTCACGGGTTCTCACATGGTGAGATGGAGTCTTTGGCAAGCATATGCGAAGCAGTTTTGCCACCTTCTTCCTCCATGGAAGACCAAACTCTGCAATCCTTCTATAGGGCTTCTGGCTCTCAACCTCCTATCCCAGATGAGGTACGTATATATAAATTATAGTTATTAAATTACTAGAAAAATTTAGAAAATGACTTCCAATACATGATGCATCTAAGACATTACGATTTTCCCAGTAGTTTATGATGATCATGTACAATATAGAGTAGAGTGATTACAGAGTCTGCAATTTAGCCTTAAAATCATACCTATGAACATTTACAGATTGCAGAGCTACTAACAAAGAGAGGATTGATAGAAGCAAAATTGATAGTGAGGATTGTACTGTTGATGTTATCAACAAGATTGGGTACCTTACTCCTCTGTGGCGCCCTTTCTTTTACTTGGAACTTTCCGTACATCAACAAATTCTCCAGTCTGTGTTTGGAGGATAGAGAGAAAGTTCTGCAGAAATGGTTCAAGCATTGCCTCTTTACTCCAATCAGGATTGCCTTTATCTACGTCAAAGTCATGTGCCTCTACATTTTCTTCTCCAGGGTATTTAATCTTTTACCTACTCATTCACATATAATGCATATGATTTTCTCCTTTTTCATTTTGTATTTCCACCTTTGCAAGTTTCAGCTATTCCAGGAAGCAGCTAAATTTTTCTTGCACATACATTTTTTTTAATATAACATTAACTGCATACATGTGCTTGCACATGTTTCCTATCATTAGTCAACACTCAAATTTATCATACAACAAAATGTTATTCTGAATGCTATATCGGGGTGAGAGTAAACACTAAATAGGTACAACAATATTAAATCATCAAATGCTGAGAATTGAGATATTAACAATCTAATTTAGTTGAACAACAAGTTTCCTACACTCCTAATTATGGCTATATCAAAATGATTATTTCCTTCCATTTTAACAGGATTTAAGTTCTCTGGTAGCGTATGCAGTTCAAACAAACTCAGCTAAACACAATCTCTTTAACGGTTTATTTATCTAGGAGGAGCCTTTTTCTCATTACTGGTTACTTGAATTTCAAACTTTCTTCTCTTTCTTTTGAAAGCAAAATATCCAACTTTTTTTTTTCAGCCAACATCTTTTGGTACAATCTTTATTTTTTTTGCTTACTATTTCAACTACTCCATTGTAGAATGATAAAAATGATAATATCCACTATATCAAACATTTTGAAGCAACTTTCAGAAAGTGCCAGATAAATATTTATTTATGTATTTACTTACGTAAATAAACAGCGGAACACAGAAGATGCATCATCTCCTTGAACTGGCTAAGAAATTTCCTGAATAGGCTCAAAATACAACTCATATTTCAAAAGAAACACGCCCCATATGCTCTCTTGTAGACAAGGGGCCTCGATTGGGTTCGACTTTAGAAATAACTTTAGGTTAGATTTTATAAAAGTAGGAAACAACTTTTATCCTCATAGAATAACCCGCCTTTTAAATGAAAGAAAAATCATATATCATCGCACTAAACGGGAAACCAATATTTCTAAGTACCAGAGTAATTGATATCACAGGAGCTAGCGGGATTCCAATAGAACCAAAAAAAGAACTCCTAAGACAAATTCTCAAATGCTAAATTCAAGGGCATGATCATTCAGAAATCATGAATTACAAATTTCCAGTAATTGTGATCCTAATTTGCAACTGAAGGATTATAAACTTAGCCCTAAGGAAGCTGAGTTAGGATTATTTTTCCCTTAATCCCTTCTTTGAAGTTCAAATATATAATACATTATGCTAGAAATATACTCAGAACTATACATACTTTCAATCATATTTATGATTCTCAAGTTTCAAATTCTTGCTGCAGGTCGATGGAACAGTTAAAAACCCAGCCTGGAAAGCCATAGGGTATCAGCTAGAAACTGATGGGGATCTGTCCCAAGTTCCAAAAGACAGACTCCTTCAAAAGGGAATGATAGAGACCAAACATGAGACTCATGAAACTCTTGTTCAATCTCTTATCCAGAAAGGTCTCAAAGCGACACAAGATTCCAAACAGGAGCACATTAAAGTCCAATGTGATGTTGTCATTGTAGGCTCTGGTTGTGGTGGAGGTGTTGCAGCTGCTGTTTTAGCAAGCTCAGGCCAAAAGGTGGTTGTCCTCGAGAAAGGAGACTATTTCACTCCAGCAGAATATTCTCCCTATGAGGGACCCTCGTTAGAACGACTTTATGAATGTGGAGGGGTCCTTCCAACTGTAGATGGGAATATGATGATTTTAGCAGGAGCAACAGTGGGTGGTGGCTCAGCTGTCAACTGGTCAGCATGCATCAAAACACCGAAGTCTGTGCTTCGGGAATGGGCTGACAACCATAAGATCCCGGTCTTTGGCACCACGGAATATCTCTCTGCCATGGATATTGTATGTAAAAGACTTGGTGTGACCGAGAATTGTGTTCAGGAGAGCTTTCAAAATCAAGTACTTCGAAAAGGGTGCGAAAATCTGGGTCTCAAAGTTGAAAAGGTGCCACGTAATTCCTCAGAGGATCATTACTGTGGATCTTGTGGCTATGGTTGTAAACAAGGAGACAAGAAAGGGACTGATTGCACATGGCTGGTGGATGCTGTAAACCATGGTGCAGTGATCTTAACCGGATGCAAAGCTGAGAGATTCATATTAGAGAAAAACAAAAGTGGCAGTAAGAGGAAAAGGAAATGCCTGGGAGTGATTGCAAAATCATTGAATGAAACCATAACGATGAAACTGCAATTTGAAGCTAAAGTAACAATCTCAGCATGTGGGGCACTTTTGACACCTCCCTTAATGCTTTCCAGTGGATTGAAGAACCGAAACATTGGTCGAAACCTTCATCTTCATCCTGTTCTAATGGCTTGGGGATACTTTCCGGAGCCAAATACAGAGTTCAAGGGAAAATCCTACGAGGGTGGAATAATCACATCAGTCCATAAGGTAGTATCAGGAGATTCTGATGTAAAAGCCATCATAGAAACTCCTCAACTTGGTCCTGCATCATTTGCCACATTATGCCCATGGGTATCTGGACTTGATATGAAAAACAGAATGACAAAATTTTCACGAACGTCTCACTTGATTACAATTGTAAGGGACCAGGGGTCAGGAGAAGTGAAGTTGGAGGGAAGAATAAGCTATTACCTCAGCAGAGAAGACAAAGAAAATTTAAAGGCTGGATTGCGGCGGGCAATTCAGATTTTAATAGCAGCTGGAGCAGTTGAAGTGGGCACCCACCGAAGCGATGGGCAAAGAATCAAATGTAAAGGGCTAAATGAGAAGGAAATAGAGGAATTTTTGGAGACAGTTTCTCCAGTGGACGGGGCAATATCCTTTGCAGAGAACTGGGTGCTCTATTCTTCTGCTCATCAGATGGGAAGTTGTAGAATGGGGATCAACGAGAAAGAAGGTGCAGTTAATGAGAATGGGGAGAGTTGGGAAGCAGAAGGCTTATTCGTTTGTGATGCTAGTGTTCTGCCAAGTGCCGTTGGAGTTAATCCCATGATAACCATTGAGGCGACAGCTTACTGTCTTTCCAACAGAATAGCAGAGTTTTTAAGAATACAACAAACAAAAAAGGTTTACTAATCATTCATAAACAACCATAATATTAACGTTTTATATGTTCTATGTTTTCATTCTGCAGGAGAAAACAAGAAAAAGAAAAAGGAAATGATAATGGAGTTTGAGCCACAGTAGCACTAACAAGACCGGGTTAAAGTAAGCATGAAAGCCTCATGTGGCAGCCACAGCCAGTAAATTAGCAGAAGAGAACTAATAGAATAATGTGGGGAATGGAAAAGAGTCCTGAGAACTCCTCTACCTGGGAAATAAATCAAATAGATATATACTCCATTAATGTCAATAAGAAAGCAAAACCTTTCTAAAATTTCTCTTTGATTTTGGTTCGCTGCATACAATTTGCACGTATTATGATCTTTATATTTTGACAACTCACATTCTTACATACTTAGACCACATTGAACTCAGTGAATAATCTTGCTACCGCGATAGCTATAGAGTGTCAAGTATGCTTCGGGGGTGTATACAATCTTCGAAATTTTTGCATATTTAAAGTTTCAAAATTAAAAAAAAAAAGGTAAAATCCAGAATATGAATTCAACAACAAAGATTTGTTTCAGTCAAGTGATTTACGCCATGTACACAAATGCTTATTGTGAAGTGACTAACTACGATGTTTATAGAAACACAAGAACCAGAATAAATATTAAAGCAAAATTAGAACGCAGAAAAGAAAGAAAAACAATGCATGACAAAAAAGGTGCCGATACTTGATGATTACTTGGCAAATTAGAACCAAATAAACCTAGAGAAAAAATATGGTTGAAGCTCGCCTTGAGGAGATTCAATGATCTTCTTCGTCGAAAAGTTGTTACCTCATTTGAAGGGGAGAAAGTATCCTTAGTTGTCGTATGGATTTCGTCCTAAGAGAAATTCCCACGATTTCATGAAAGCATGATCTGGGGTGAGATAATTGAACTGTGAATCTTCCAAATCCCAAATACCTTCCTCTACGGGGCAAGAGAGTTGCCCTAATGACTTACTGATTTTTTTTCATTATGTTTGGACACACAGAAGACAGGAACAGGTTTTGTAGAGAGGAAAAATAAAAATTAATGAAGGAAAAAAAAAAAGGTTAGTGCTTAAATTTTTAGAAGCTCTATAATGTTCTTGGAAGAAATCTATTACGAGATTATTTTGATTTAATTTACTTAAATTTAATTTTTTTTTAAAAAAAATTAATCAGTCATATATTTGATTAAAATTTTAATTACCAAACATAAATAGTTATTTCTTAAATTAATAAAAAAAAAGATAAAAGAATAAATCATGTAAATTGCTAAAAGACGAGACAAGTTAAAAGAATATAGTGCCCTTTTTAAGATCTAATAAGCACCATAATTTACCACTAATCTTCATTTATGAGCATACAATCTCTAATTAGAAACTAAAAGCATGATAATTACATTATCAAATTTTTTGAGTGAGCTCTACTCAGATGTTGTTTTTATTAGAATATTACTCGTATCAAGCTTCCGAACACATTATGTGAAAGTCCATCATAAAAAAAGCTTATTAAATTATAATAAGCCCGTTAAAGGAGATTACAATGATTTCAACGATGGCAAAATCAAAGAGATCGATGATAAGGCCACATTTACATGGGTCGAGAAATGCATTTGATGACATGATCTACATGATTATAATTTGCAGATTACACATTTGAGATTTATAGAGTTGGACTGCAAAGAACATTGTGATATGAAGCT